TGAATGATATATTCAGAATGCTGAAAGGAAAAAAAAAAGTCCAACCAAGAGCACTCTCTCCCTCAAGGCTACCATTCAGAACTGAAGGAGAGATAAAGAGCTTTTCAGACAAGCAAAAGCTAAAGCATCTCATTACCACTGAACCAGCCTTCCAGGCAATGTTAAAGAGGATACTTTAAGCTGAAAAGAAAGGGCACTAATTTGTAACAAGAAAACCTGTGGATATGATTATCTCACTGATGAAGGTAAATGTATGTTAAAGGTTGCAGATAAATTTCCTTAAAGCTAGTATGGAGGTTTAAAGACAAAAATAGCAAAAAAGAATTGTAACTATAACTGGTCAAGGTATATACAAAGTAAAAGATGTAAAATGGAACATCAAAAACATAAAACCTGGGGCAGTGGGAATAAAAGGAAAGTTTTAGAATGTGTTCAAACTTATGTGTTAGAACTTGCTATTAAGTTAAAATGTGTTTAATTTGATATTAAGTTAAAAGGCTATTACATGTGAGCCTCATGGTACTGTACTGCTAAGTCACTTCAGTTGTGTCGACCTCTGTGCGACCCCATCCCTGGGATTCTCTAGGCAAGAACACTGGAGTGGGTTGCCATTTCCTTCTCCAATGCATAAAAGTAAAAAGTGAAAGTGAAGTCGCTCAGTCATGTCCGACTCTAAGTAGCCCCATGGACTGCAGCCCACCAGGCTCCTCCATCCAGAGCCTCATGGTAACCCCAAAGCAAAAACCTATAGTAGGTACACAAAAGATAAGGAGAAAGGAATCTAGCAGGCACTATAGAATGTAATCAGATTACAAGTAAAGAGAGCAAAAAAAAGCAAAAAAGAGGAAAGGAACAAAGAGGAGCTACAAAACAGCCAGAAAACAATTAACAGGTTGGTATAAGTTTGTGTGTGTGTGTGATAAATTGCTTCTGTCATGTCCAACTCTCTGCAAACCCATGGACTGTAGCCTGCTAGGTTCCTCTGTCCATGGGATTGTCAAGGCAAGAATACTGCAGTGGGTTGCAATTTCCTCCTGCAAGGGGTATTTCCCACCCAGAGATCGAACCCACGTCTCTTTTGTCTCCTGCATTGGCAGGTGGGTTCTTTACCACTAGCACCACCTGGGAAGCCCTGATAAGTATATATCTATCAATGTTTCTAAATGTAACCAGACTAAATTCTACCGAAAAACACAGAGTGGATGAACAGATAAAAACACAAAACCCATCTATATGCTGCCTGGGAGAGATTCCCATCAGATGTTAGGACACACACAACCTGAAAGTAAAGGAATGGGAAATGATGTTTCTTGCAAATAAAAACCAAATGAAAGCTGGGATAGTTATACTTAAAACAGGAAAAAATAGACTTTGCTATGTTTAAAATGATCTATTTATTTTTGACTGCACTGGGTCTTCGTCGCTGTAGGTGACTTTCAAATCGTGGCAAGTGGAGGCTGCTCTCTAGTTGTGGTGCATGGGCCTCTCACTGCTGTGATTTCTCTTGTTGCAGAGTGCAGGCTCTCGGGTGCACGGGCTTCAGTAGTTGTGACATGTGGGCTTAGTTGCCCCACAGCATGTGGAATCTTCCTGGACTAGGGATCAAACCCAAGTCCCTGTATTGGCAAGCAGATTCTTAACTACTGGAGCACCAGAGAAGTCTGACAAATTCTTTAAAACAAAGAGTTTATTAAAAGACAAAGATGAGCATACTATATTGATAAAGTTGTCAATCCAATAAGAAGATATAACATTAATAAATATCTATCCATCCAACAGTGAAGACACTAATTTGAAAAGATGTATGCTCCCTTTTGTTCATTGCAGTATTATTTACAATAGCAAAGAGGTGGAAACAACTGAAGTGTCCATCAATGGATGAATAGATAAAGAAGATAAAGAAGATAAAGAAGATGTGGTATATGTATGCAATGAAACACAACTCAGCCATAAAAATAATAAAATCTTGCCATTTGTAGCAACATGGATAGAACTTCAGAGTGTTATGCTAAGTGAAATAAGTCAGACAGAAAGACAAATACTATATGATTTTACTTATGTGTGGAATCTAAAAAAAAAAACAAAATAAATGAAAATACAAAACTCAGAGATACAGAGAACAAGTTGCTAGTTGTCAGAGGGGAGGATTATTTGGGGGGGGGTAGGCAAAAGTGGGTGAAGGGGATCAAGAGATACAAACTTTGAGTTAGAAAATAAATGTCATGGGAATGAAATGTACAGCATGGTGACTATAGTCAATAGCATTGATTGTAAATTTGAAAGTTGTATGAAAGTAAATTTGAAAAGTTCTCATCACAAGGAAAAAGAAAACTATACGGTGACAGATGGTGACTAGGCTTATTGTGATCATTTCACACTGTATGCAAATCTTGAATCATTATGTTGTACACCTGAAAGTAATATAATATTGTATGTCAATTACTCTCAATAGAATGAAGCAAAAACCCCTGCTGTATGGTCATCCTTGAAAAAATTTTATCTCAATATACTTCAAATGTCATCTTTTCAAATAATGGTCCAGTATCACACAATGTGCCATATATTGACAGTCTAAATTGTTAGATATTTAGATTAAACATTTTTCTCTAAAATAGAGGCTTATAATAAACATTATTTTAAAATATTTACCTAAGCACTTGTCCAAGAGTTTTGTCTGGATAAATTCCTGAAATTCCTTATGTCTAAAACATACATGCTAATTCTTGACATAATAAGGTATATATTAGTTATCCTTTGCTGCGTAACTACCCACCAAATTTAGTGGCCTAATGCCACTTAAATGGGCTTCCCTGATGGCTCAGATGGTAAAGAATCTGTCTGCAATGCAGGAGACCCAGGTTTGATCCCTGAGTAGGGAAGATCTCCTGGAGTAGGAAAGGGCAACCCAGTCTAGTATTCACTCTGGAGAATTCCATGGACAGAGGAGCCTGGTGGGCTGCAGTACATGGGGTCCCAAAGAGTCAGACATGACAGAGTGACTTTACTTTTCACTCTTCCTTAAATCACTAAATCATTTATTTTGCTCATAGATCTGCAATTTGGGTAGAGCTTAAATGGTCTCTTCTCAGGCTTGTCCCTCCTCTATATCATGTCAAGTATAGGTTTACTGGGGCTTCTACGGTGGCTCCAGGTGGTAAAAAATCTGCTTGTGATGCAGAAGACCTAGGTTCGATGCCTGGGTTAGAAAGATCCTCTGGAGGAGGGCATGGCAACCCATTCTAGTTTTCTTGTCTGGAGAATCTCTGTGGACAGCGGAGCCTGGCGTGCTACAGTCCATAGTATCACAGAGAGTTAGACATGGCTGAAGCAGCCATACACACATGCATAAGTTTACTGATGAGCTCCCCTGGTGGCTCAGTGGTTAAGAATCTGCCTGCAATGCACCTGGGTTCGATCCCTGAGTCGGGAAGATCCCCTGGAGGAGGAAATGGCAACCCACTCCAATATTCTTGCCTTGGAAATCCTATGGACAGAGGAACCTGGCAGGCTACAGTCCGTGGGGTTGCAAGAGTCAGACACAACTTAGTGACTAAATTACCAACCATCACCGTAGGTTTACTGCGGGAGTGAAGTGTTTACTTTCAAGGTGGCTCATCACCTGTATGGTCATCTGGTGTTGGTAGTCAGCTGGAACTTTTGCCGGTACTGCGGACCAGGGTCCATAGTTTCTCTCCACAGGACTCTTTCCATGGACTGTTTGGGCTTCTTCATGGCGTGGTGCTCCCAAGAGTGAATATCCTGAAAGACAGGCAGAAAGGCTATGACATAGCCTTGAAAATGACAAAGTGTCTATTTCATTATACTCTCTTGGTGAGGCACTCACAAAGGCCTGCCCAGGTTTCAGAGGTGAGGGCACAGACTTTACCTTGGTGGAGGAAGTAGCAATGTTTTAAAAGAGCATGTGGTTTTCTCAGAGTGTATGCCCAGTAGTGGGATTGCTGGGTCATATTTGAGACAGCAGCATTGACATATATACACTACCGTGTGTAAAGTAGCTAGCTCGTGGGAAGCTGTTACATAGCACAGGGTCTCAGCTTAGTGCTCCGTGATGACCTAGAGTATTGGGATGTGGGGGCCAAGGGTAGGAGCGAGATTCAAGAGAAATGGGATATATATATACATATAGCTGATTCACATGGTTGTACAGAAAAACTAACACAACTGTGTAAAGCAGTTATACTCCAATTAAAAAATAAAGTGCATGTGGGATGAAAAGTATTGCTGCCAACTTTGGAAAATACCATCTTCCATAAAATATAGTAAAAATCTGATGATTTAATACTTAGAATTTTGAATCAATCTAGAGCACATACCTCTGTATATTTTGTTATTGACAGCAGATTACTGACTTTTTATTGTTCATAAAGGGAAGATAAAGATTTGTAGGTTCACTCAGTGGTTAGTAGAAAGGTTAGCATCTACGACTGGAATATGGTCAGGGTTCTTCCTGAGGGTCTTATAAGGCAAAGAGTAACTGGGGCAGACAAGCAGTCAAAAAGCAGTTGGGAAGGAAGGCAGTCAAATGCCGAGGAGGCCAATTACAAATGCCATTTCCAAACACTCTGGTGCACCATCAACCTCAGGCTGTAGAATAAAGAATTCAGGGTTTATAGGTTGGTCAGTGAAAAATGTGTGGCTACCTCAGAGGTCATGTAGACAAGGACATTCAAATTAAAGGGTCCTTGGAGGTCCCAGGCTTCAGTATCATAAAACATTGTCACTTCCTCATGTCATGCAAGACACAAACAGCCTCACCTATGTGACCACCTAGGTCTCAGGATAGTGATGCTTAAATGAACTTGGAAATCATTTAGACTCAGATGTCCTTCAAAAACTGGAAAAGGGGTAGTGGTAGAGTAACCCTGGGGGGAATGTGAATGGATACTTCCTCCACAAACTTGGCCATTTAGGAAACTGTAATCACCATTTCTTTTTCCTGAATGTCAAAAGGTAATTACTGGTATTCTGTCTTCTTGCAGGAATTCTTCTCTACAAGGCATTTTTCATCAAAACCATATGACTGGTAGTTGATCACTGCAAATGATTCTGCCACTAGGACAGTAGCTTTGGTATTTTTCTTTTTTTCCTCCCTATTGAAATTGCTCTAGAAAGTATGTGGGAAACCTGTATGAATCAATAAATGATTAAATCCAACTTTACATAGATTCAAAGTGCTTACAAGAGTGCTGGCCCATTTCTTCCTTTGCCTGTCTATTTCCAACAGTGAAGGAAGCATTTGTCATAGTCACAAGAGTAGATTGTAATGTGCCCTAAAAAGTGAACAGAATTTTTTTTCTGAATGTGTACATATATATATAATAATTATTTTTTTTTTTAAAGAACATACAAACAGATGAAAGTCATGCCCCTCTTTCACTTGCATCCACACATACTTTCATTTTGTGGCTGGGAAATTTGGGGATTTTCGTTCAACATTGATAGTTTAAAATTGACTTTAATTAACTGCCCACATGCAAATATGTAATGATATTTGCAAAAATCAAGGACCGTTTTGGAAATTTCATCTGAAGAGTTTAATAAGCCCAAGAATTTAAACTTGAAATGCCTCATGGTCGTCATTTGGAGCAGCAACTATCACCATTACATGTTACTCAGTGCTCAGTTTAGATTTAGTCTAAGTGTTCCTCAATCAGGGACAATTTTGTCTCCTGCCCGCCTCCCTCTCCCACTTCTGACTGCCCCCTTCCCCCTCCCCTCACCTCCAAGACATTTTTGGTTGAGTGTGTGTGTGCACATGTGTGCTATTGGTCAGAGATACCCTAAACACCCTAAAATGCATAGGGAAGTCCTCCATAACAAAAATTATCCAGTTCAAAAATTCAAAAGCACTGAGATTGGGGAACCCTGATTTGAGTTCAGACATAAGAAATTTGCTAGTGTAACTGTTAACCAAAATCCTTGTCTCCATTATTGCTGCCGAGGTGCCAAAACCAGGCTCAAATATATTTGGTTGGATTTTTTTTTAACGTTTCTGTTTTCATAGCTGAATAACATCCTTTAACTTCGGACTATAGACACAAAAAGGTTAATTGAACAATAGGCTGACACAAAGAATGAACTCTAAACAGATTTTCTAAATAGTTACTTAGAAAAAAAATTAGTTTACTTAGGCCTATCTCAAGGCATGACTTCTAAACCACTGGTTTCCCTTGTTAGAATCTGGTAAAATCTTGGTCCATAGGTCTCTAGTAGTATATGGAGGCTCCTTAGAGTCACACTTAATGTTTAAATGTGAAATTTCTCTGCTTTATTTCTTCCTGTTTTATTGAGTGTCATTTTTTCCCTTGGTTATGCTTTTTTCCCTATGTTGCCTTATGTACTGGTGTGAACAACTGTTCAAATGCCTAAGCCCTCTAATTGCCTGTGAAGGACTTTTAAAATCTTTGTGTTCCATTCTTGTGCTGCTTTTTGCCTTTTTCATTAAGGTTGCACCCTTTCACTGACCATTTGCTCAGAACTCTCAGTTGTCTGTGGAAGCCTGTTGTTTGACTTTGTGTTAATGACATGGATATTGGGTTAATGACATCACTGACTAATATTTGCTTATTATGATCTATTCCAAAAAAGATTTGATGCCCTTTATCAAAATAAATAAAATACTTTTTAAAAAAATACTTTTTAAGACTTGCTGACGACCTTGGCTACTTGACCACACTCCAGACTAATCCACAGGCAAGCTGTTTTTGATCTTTGGATATTGACAAGCCCTCAGGATCAGGGGAGGGTATTTTTGTCTAGCCCTTGAGAACTGAGGCAAAAAGAAGTTGTGTTTGACAGTACCATTAGGAAGTCTGTTTCCTTGAAGATACCTTTCTATGGTCTTTTCTTGTTTCATAGTTGGAAAGCATCCCTTTAGCTCAGAACCTAGGAGAAGAGCTATTCTTAATATGTCAACCCTATGACTCACCTTCAGACTACTGTTATCCCAGAAGTGAAGCTATTTTTATCTCTTCTAAATCTTTTCACTCTTTCCTGATCCATCCAAATGAGCTGATTACAGTATGCAGGAACTGGTTAAGTCCTAGAGCCAAAAAGATCAGTTCTTAACAGGTAATAATAATTTAATGGCTAAAATGGTAGAAAATGACATACTTAAAAAAAAATTTATCCTAGATTTTAGAGATGGGACATTTGGCAAGGCTCCCAGAAACACTCACCCCAGCACCCTGAGAAGAAAAAATAAGTCTGGGCTCTGAATCTTTCATTGAATGTAAAGGTCAGTCACATACTGTCCTGTTACAGATGAGGAGTCAGTTCTGAAATGACTCCTGCAAGAATTTTTCTCATTTTTAAAACCTCCTTGATGTAAAACCATCCTTTGGCTCTAATCAGAAATTTAATTTATTCAGAGATAAGGCAAAGGAAGATCTTAACTTCTCTGATGTGAGGGATCTGAAGAAATTAGGAGTGAGCAAGATTAATATCAGAGCATTGGCACTCTACACATTTCCTAATGGATAAGATCTTTGGTTTTGTTATTTTAATTTTCTCTGCATGGAGTCAGATAGCCTACGTGCCTTCAATAATGATGATGCCAATTCTCTCAGCTTCTAGGTCTCATCAGAAAGTTCTAAAGTAATTTTTAAATGTCATTTGGATCCAAAGGGTAGATAGACTCACATTCACTCATTCATTCACATTTCAGGAAAGCCTATTATGTAAGTCTTGCTGTAGTAGGTTTCTGGGTATGATAAAAACAAGAAAAAACATACTTGGGAGTACATGACATAGTAAGGAAAATGATACAGAAAATTTCAATATGGTGTTATAAGAGTGGATGATGAGTACTTTGTGGGTGGTTTTGGAAAGCCTTCACAGTGGAGGTCACAGAGCTGGCTCTTGGGGAATGAGTAGGGCATAAGCAGGCAGATGATGTGGGAAATGGTACTCAAGGCAGATCTGGTGCTTGTGTGATGGAACACCGAGAGATAAGAAAGCACAGGGTGCTTCTTGAGAAACATAAGCGTCCCTGGCTTTCATCCCAGGGATCAGCACTGGTTGGAGGAATTAACAAGAGCCAGGTACCTGCTCTGTTTAGGAATGTGGACTTTATCCTCCTTTGTCACATTGAGAGTTTAGAATTACTTCTTTGTCAAAACGCATCTTTCAGATATGTAGTGGTTACCTGGCTAGTGCAGAGAGATATGATGTGAGTGGGTGGAGGGCAGAGAAACAAAGAGAAAAATCATTGCTTTCCTTATAGAAACAAGGAAAAGGGAACAGAAATGAGACCATCAGTAAAGCTTAGACAGGAGGGACCAGCTTGCAGAGGCCATCAGTGGCCTCGGACAGTTCCTCCCGGTGTTGATAGCCAGAGGGCAAGTCACACACGGAGAAATCAGCAAAGACTGGGCAGCGAGGATGTGAAAGAGCATTGTCACCCCCATCTTTGTCCTGTGACAGTCTGACTCGGGCTGGAAGTAACAAGAAATCCAACAATTTCAATCAGGTTTTCGACTGAAATTTCAACCTGAAATTTCTGTAGGTTGTTTCCAAAGCAATTGAAAACTGGCTTGTGCAGGACTGAAGAATACACAGGGCAGAACATAAAGGAGATAATTTTCCAGTTACTGGGGTAAAAATAAATCGCAAAGGCTCTCTCTGTGTGTATGTGTGTCTATGTATGGGTCAACGCATGTGTTTATATATCGGCATCTTTATCACATACCTTTTCCTGATACCTTCAGGGTTATGTGTTGACCCATCCCCCAAGGCAGTTTATTTTCATTAGTTTTGCTATAAAGGATCTGCACATGAGCTGACTGGAGAAGTTTGGCAAGAAGAGAAAAGGAAAAGTGTTAGGAACAGAGATGCCATGCCCAGCGTTTCTCTGGCAGGTTCGTTGTCTTCTGGCCCTATTCTAACCCATGAATTCTTATCACAGTGTCAGGGATGTTCATAACATTTTGATCTTTCTGGGAGAGTAATTCATGAAGATGTGGTGTTTTACTAGTTGTGGACTGGACTTGGTTGACTTTGAAAAATTGATATTAAGAGAGGAAGGAAAGACAGAAAGGGCTTGGTGATGGCAGTGGTGTAAACGATTTGTGAAGCCTGGGCGTTATTTGTAGCTGCATTCTATAATTGCGGTGTGGCCTCAAGTAAGTTATTTGAGCCTCTGTACCTGATTTTCTCCATAGGGAATAGCGAATGACTCAGTGAAGCCAAAAAGGTGCCTCTGTTCTAAGAGTTTTTAACCATATTAAACACCCCAGGTGAAAGGTGACAAATAAGGATAGTGTTATGACCATTACAGTTCTGTGAGAAAATAATCTGCCTTCAGTTCGACTGACCAAGCAAGGCTCAGTTCATTTGTAATCTCTTTCTTCCCTTTGCTATTGCCCGAGTCTTGTGTAAGCTTAATGGCTTCTGTGCTGTTACCTCCAAACTTTTCTCAATTCTAACTCCTATCCCTCCTTGAAGCTGAGCTCAAGAGATTCTTGACTCTAGAGTCCTGGACACATCCTTCATCCCACTGTGGTGGTTATACCCATGGAGGGGCTGGCACGGGTGTAATATTACCTGTTGAACATTTTGGATCACCTATTTCCTTTCTGTTCCCTTGTGTATCTCTTTTCTTTCTACTTCCCTGTGTATCTGCTGTGTTCCAAATCAGGAAAGGAGTATGTCAAGACTGTATATTGTCACCCTGCTTATTTAACTTATATGCAGAATACATCATGAGAAATGCTGGACTGGATGAAGCACAAGCTGGACTCAAGATTGCCAGGAGAAATATCAATAACCTCAGATATGCAGATGACACCACCCTTATGGCAGAAAGCAAAGAAAAACTAAAGAACCTCTTGAAAGTGAAAGAAGAGAGTGAAATAGTAGGTTTAAAACTCAACATTCAGAAAACTAAGATCATGGCATCTGGTCCCATCACTTCATGGCAAATAGATGAGGAAACAGTGTCAGACTTTATTTTTTGGGGCTCCAAAATCACTGCAGATGGTGACTGCAGACTTGAAATTAAAAGACGCTTACTCCTTGGAAGCAAAGTTATGACCAACCTAGATAGCATATTAAAAAGCAGAGACATTACTTTGCCAACAAAGGTCCGTCTAGTCAAGGCTATGGTTTTTCCAGTGGTCATGTATGGATGTGA